TCTCTCTCCCTGTCTCTCTCTCTCTTTTTTTCCCTCTCCCTCTCCCTCCCCCACAAAAATCACACACAAACACACTGATTATGCAACACAGCTACTCATTACAGAGCAGCATAAACAAAATGTTCTATTCAGAAAAAAATATTATATACGTATTGGGAATGTTGGTCATTTCTAATTAAAGCTGGCCAGAAACAAAGTACAGAATTTTCTGAAGTTGTTTAGCAATGTATGTTCTGATCTCCTGCGTAATTTCCATATATATTTTTTATATTTCTTCTGTTACAACAAAAAGATTTTGGTCAAGATCTACACATTTCCTCTCTTCCCCTATTCTCTCTTAAAGCTCAGGTTTTTGTTTAAATTGCAAAAAAATAATTTGTTTAAATGTTGTGCCTTTTAACCCAATATGTACAGAAAGTGTTGTAAATTTTTTTTGAAAGCTGAATGATACTCTCTTCTGCTGTAGGTTGTAAGGCATGAAAAGTTTAACTTGATGTGTTCCAGATATCTAATGAACACTGCACTGACATATACGGTGGTTGTGGTAATTTGATTGAGTCAGTTATTAATCTCCTTTTCACTTATTTAAATGGGTAAGGCTTAATGCATATGTTTAAGCTACCGAAATGGAAAGCATTATGTATATATGTCAAATCAAAATGTTTTATTTATCATATAAATGATAATAATATGATATATGAGGTGCACCTTTTTTTTCTTCCGTGAAACCATCTGAATTTTCTAACTCTTGCTGTCTGAAACAGTAAAGAAATTGAGCTGCTATTATGAAGTTAAAAAAAAAAAAAAATATGCGTTGGTCGGCTAATGTTAGCAGTAATGCCAGCAAAAGTAAAGAAAATAAATATGTTGTATTTTTCAGGATGTGCTCCAGAAGTTGTTGAAAGATCCCTATATCCAGCAGTCTAGAAAGAGAGACCAGGAGGAGGGGGCGGGTGGTGAGGATCTCATCGCTGGTCAGCTCTCGGGGAAATCTGCTTTACAGGTCTGTTTTGTTTGGAGAAAGGAGATTACAGCATGTTGTTGTGTGTCTCTGTCTTCCACTTTGTGATTTTGCCAATTTTATATGCACACCCTTTGAGGGGGGCTCTCGTGGCCTAGAGGTTGAGGTGTTGGCCTCTCATTCAAAGGTTCCGCGTTCAAATCCGGGTAGCGACCGAAAAATTTTCTTCTCTAAAAATTGTCTCCTTTCACCTCCTTTCCTGCTCTCTAGCAATGTTCTGTTGTCTGCTTTCGTTTCCACTTTTTGCCCCCACCCCCTCACCTCCTTTGCCCCTCCTCTGGGCTCCAGACTCTTTCTGCAGCCTTTCTACTGCTACTCCTTGGCTCCTTCTAACTGCTGTCTTTCTGCCACACCCCTGATCTTCTGGTAGGAAAGATCTACACACCTAGCTTTCTCGGACAAGGGCGGAAAATCTTGGAGGGCCCGTGTGCAAGTTGCGCACGTTAAATATCCCGTGGTGGTCTAAAATCGTTAAGAGTAGGCTTCAGCCGCCACCTGGGCAAAATTCAAAATTTCCTACCAACTGGAAATATTAGGTGTGTCCCGCGCGCTCATATGACCTTATGCAGTTGGGAGCGCCGTAAAAACACTTACCAAAACAAACAAACACCCTTTTAAAGTACTAAAGTAAGCAAATAGCTTGTAGGCATAGTAAGGAATTTAGGTCAAAGATTGATTTTCAGATTCTCTAATTTGCACACACTATCATGCTTGTTACTTTTTGTAAATATGCTTGTTTATGACACAGTGCACTCAGAGGTTGTGTTGTGTGTGCCTCTTGCTCAAAGGATGACTTGTTTTGTCAGTGTATGTGCATGCAGACTGACACAACTGAGAAGTTGACCAAATTGCAGCCTATAGTACTCTATTCTCCTCTAGAAATGAGAAAGTGAAAAATGAATAGTATCTTGTCCCTCTGCAAACCCCTAAAATTCTCTGCATCTCTTTTCCAACATATTTTCTTTAGTCCTAAGAGCTGAATCCTCAGCTTTTTTTTCTTTCATTATAAATGTTTATGTTTTCATGATTGATGGATTGAGATGTTTTACAGCACCATTGACACAATTTTGGTCATGCGAGCACTAGTTTTCATGTTTTTTTTATATGAAACATAGTGGTCATAAAGAGTCCGTATTTTGAGAGCAGATTGATGCTTTTCTATTTTGCGTCAGTTTTTCATTTGAGTGTGTCATTGCTAAGATTTACTTCTTTACCATCCTACCGTTGTTTTTGCCTGCCTGTCTGTCATGCTTTTTCCCAGCACAGTTTCGCCATCATTGTGTTGATGAACTTATCTTGAACTCAGAACAAATGTCTTTTTCCAGCTGAACAAACCTGCACCAAAGCCTGGAGATCCCCAGGCAGGACCTTCGACTGGGGAAAATGGAGAGAGTGAGGAGAACAAGGAGACAGTACCAGAAGACATTTATGAGCTCTATGATAAAATGGACAAAGAGGATGATGATGAAGACGCGGCACAGCTTAAGACTGTTTCTTTTGAAGTGAATCAGGATATGATTGAGGTTTTACAAAAAAGGTGAATACTGTCAGTTTTTATTTTCATTTTTCTGTTTTTTCTAAGTTTAGGGAAACCATGTAGACTCAGTGATGAATACTTAGTTCCAAAACGGAATCGAGAAGGAATGTGGAAACAATGGGCAAAGATAACAAAGTTTTTTTTGTGTATGTTTTGCCTTAGCTTTTCCATACCAGGCTTATTGTCCCTGCATAAAAAAACAAGTTTTAATTCATTGTGAAGCAACTTTTGCAAATTCAAACTGCCTGTTTAAATTAACAAGCAAATGAGGAGTTTACAAATTGTAGATGAATTTTTTATCGCTATCTTTTTTCTGTTACACTCCATGATTTACACCAGTCTTTCTCTTTCTACAGGTGCATTGAATTGGAGCATCCATTGCTTGCAGAGTATGATTTCAGGAATGACTCAATCAACCCTGATGTCAAGTCAGTAATTTTTAGTTTTCTTTATTTTATAATGTATCTTTTTGCACCCTTTTCATTCAGAGTGTTTTAAATGCTTGAATAAATCCTGATCTTTTCACCTATGTTGTTTTGAACGTTTGATAAATTTGACATCACTATTTGATCTTTTCTGATGATGAACTCTTGTTGTCATTTTCATTGCAGAGTAAATTAATTGCTTTGTGATAAATATTATGAGCAAGACTTTTACAGATGTATGTATAATGTTCTTTCGTTATATCTTTAGCTCATCTGGATGAGTGCATGGTATTTAGTTCTTCAGAGCAAAACAGAATCTTTGGTGGGGAGCTGAAATATAGGTGTTATATCTTCTAGGGATTATGAAAAGTAAATTTGAGGGGGGCAGAATGCTTTTTTTGATATGGTAAAGGTTTTTCTATGTTTCGTAAATGTTTTTGTAGTTTTTCAGTGATTGTAATTATTTAATTGTATTTCCCATTTCTAGCATTGACCTGAAACCTTCCACTGTGCTGAGACCGTACCAGGAGAAAAGTTTGAGAAAGATGTTTGGCAATGGTCGAGCTAGATCCGGAGTGATTGTTTTGCCATGCGGTAAGTTCAAGTTCACAATTGCCAGAGTGTTTCTGTCTCTTTTTCTTTATGGAGTAGCTTTGAAGATCTATCGCCATCATTTTGTCACATTCAGTTGAATCATCATCATCATCATCCAGTGCCAGATCTGCGACAGATATCGGCGATCATGGTTCTCCGTTCATTCCTTTGCTCGGAGGCTCTTAAAAAGCTATGCTCCCCTGATCTTTCCCTGTCGCCCACTTGTTCAGGTTTCCGAAGTAGGTTGCTCTGAGCCTACCCCTACCTCGCTTGCCTTCAATTTTGCCAGTGAGAGCTAGATGTTCAGGACCTCAGTTGAATATTATAAGATATAAAATGTAATTGCCTGTTTGATGACACAAGGGTATGTGCATTTTGTGGAATTTTGGTTGTCACTGCTTTTGTGTAGTTGTAATCGTGACTGAAAATGATTTTCCTATTAGGTCAAGAGATAAGTTCATTTTATTTTAAGTGCTGTGCGTGTCAAACCACCTTTTTAATGGAGCATATTCTTTGTTTTCTTTATAATTGACCATTTTGTATTTCTTTTTTCCTTTGTCCCTCTAAGGTGCTGGTAAAACCCTTGTTGGAGTGACCGCGGCCTGCACAGTGAGGAAACGGTGCATCTGTTTAGCTACGTCTGGTGTTGCTGTGGAGCAGTGGCGCTCCCAGTTCAAGATGTGGTCCACAGTTGATGACAGCCTGATCTGCAGGTTTACCTCTGATGCTAAAGATAAACCGATGGGTGCGTGTATTACTTTGTATTTTACGATCAGGAGTCCATCTGAAAGCTAAGTTTGTAGATTAAATTTTTGGATGGCGGCTGGTTAGTCTAGAGGTAGGTTGGGTGATGGACTCCCTTGTCAAATTACTGGGTTGCATCTGTGAGATTGCTCTGGTGTCGTCAATGATGAACTGATACTTCTTTAGCTAACAAACATTGCAAATATTGAAATACACATACTAAACTTATGACACTATGGGTTTTCATACTGTCCTTCTGTTCAGCAGTGGGAATGTCTTAGTACACAAATGAAAAAAGGTGTATCTGATGACACTTTCAGTTGCAAGTAAATGCTTGTAGTATTTCAACCTCTTTATTTTATGAGAACAAGTAACAATTGCGACTGGAAGGATTTCTAGTTAATACTGGCTCCCTTCTTCCTTTGTGACAAGTTTATAAATGCTTATCTTTGTCTGATACTTTGATGATGTATGTCTTGTTCATTGTGAATGTTCAAGTATAAATTAATTTTCTTTGTCCAGGTTGTGCAATATGCATTAGTACCTATTCGATGTTGGCTCACTCTACAAAGCGATCGTGGGAGGCTGATAAAATGATGAAATGGTTACAGAACCAAGAGTGGGGTCTGATGGTGCTTGATGGTATGGATGGTCGATTTTGTTTTAATTTGTGTTAAAAATATGTTGGCTGTAATACTTTCGAAAGAATTGCAACACTTTTGCTGTTGTTACATGTTTTATTTAGTATGACATGTGCAGTGTGTTATGAACTTGACATAAACTGTTTTTACTTACATTTTTTGTTTAAATTCCATACTTTTGAGAGTCAAGAAGTATGATATTCAGGATATGTTCCTTTAGTTTGTGTTTCGCTCACAGGAACTAACTTAACACATTACACCCTAATTCTCCCGAGACCACCCGAGAATTCCCTTACGCGCTCCATGCTGACTCGCCCGGAACCGCCTGCGCCGACCTAGCATCTTTAGAAACGAAGTCTCGCCTTGACGAGACTCTGGGTCCGAGATTTTGATTTGCATAGTTATTGCAAAAAGTTTCTTCTTTCGATTGATACGGAAACGAAATTTTTCGGGCTAGTAGTTTTAGTATTAGAGCCGATAGAAGTGAGATCACGTTACCAACACTTCGTAGGTGTCTCGACTTGTTGAAAAGCAACACAATTGAGTTCGAAAAAGGAAATAACGATGGATTTGAGCAAAAGCAAGCACATGACAAATCAGATGACTCAGATGAAAAAGTTGCATCAAGAGTTTGGGGCGATTCAGATTGATCAGACGTAGAAAATCTAGCATTTAGATTTAAGGCCCGACCGCGAGGCTGTTGTTGTTGTTGTTAGCCATCCAGTAGCATCTGAGCGTTAACTCTTTTGCATGATGCCATTCGGTAGTAGCTGCATGTCTGTTCTAATTGTTGTCTTGAGGAGTAGAGGCAATTAGATGTGTGGGGTAGCTTGAGAAGAAAACATCCCCTTAAATCAGTTAGTTTTCTACAGAAGAACAGATGATGTTCCACTGTCTCTGAGGGGTAGTCACATAATGGACAGGCAGCAGACTGCTTTACTCCAATTCGGTTGAGATGTTGGTTGAGGGGTACATGTTGTGTTCCAAGTTGGAAGATTATGGATTGATCTCCCCTCAACTCATTGATTGGATCTTTGACCAGCGGTTTATTCATGTGGCTATACATCCTCCTTCCTGTCGTACCTGTGGCCCAATCATTTGAGGCTGAGAGTGAGAGTGATGGGTTGGACACTCCGATTGAACTAAAGTTAGAACATTTTCAACAGTTTGCGCATACATAAAGTTATATTTTTCTGAAACTACTTTCATTATTCGTTTTAACTTTTTCAGGATTTTAAAAATTTGTTTAGTATTTTTAAAATGTGTTTTTTTAAAGGCTTGTATTCACGGGAGGTGGGTTCCTTCCCCTTGCTTAGGATCTAACAATGGACTTTCTGTCCTGGCCCTTAGGGTGTAACGCGTTAACAGACGGGTAGTTTTTTATGTTGATGTTACTGGAAAGGCTGATGGGTATATATGTTCTTCGTGTCTTAGAGGTGCAAACCATACCTGCCAAAATGTTCCGACGAGTGCTGACAACGGTGAACGCTCATTGCAAACTCGGTCTGACTGCCACCCTGGTTCGGGAGGATGACAAAATTGCTGATCTGAACTTCCTCATTGGTCCAAAGCTGTATGAAGCAAACTGGATGGAACTCCAAAACCTTGGTTACATTGCTCGCGTGCAGTGTGCTGAGGTGAGTGGCGCCATTTTTCTTTTATGGATTTATTGTCTGCTTACTGAAAATGGGCCAAACAATGCTATAACTTTTTATTGTAGTATTGTAGTAGAGAGAATAAGCTTACTTGGTGTTTTCAAAAGTGCTAATTTCGAAGTCATAGTCAATCTGTTTGTGTGGTGACTGAGTTGAAGTATGTCCCATGTACTTAGTCTTTTTTTATTCTTTGTTTGACAATGTAAATATATATGTTTTGTGCTTAGTTTACGTCTTTCTATTAAACCTAGTTGTGTCGTGTTCAGATTTGTCATGATTTTTCTTTTGGGGAAACCAATAAAACAAGCTAGCTATCTTTTATTTTAATAAATATTTTGTTGGAGAAGTTATTAGATTCCTGCTTCATTTATTAACAGATTGTTTAGGTGTTTGTCTTGCATCTGGATGTCAAAATATTTGCTTCAGTTTTTGGCCACTGAATATATTCATGCTTTAAAAAAAATGTATATCAATTAAATCATTTCTTTTAGTGTCATATGTTAAAAGTAATAGCAATAACTATTGTCCGTTTCAGGTGTGGTGCCCAATGACGCCTGAGTTCTACAGAGAGTACCTAGTCATGAAGTCTCAGAGAAAACTGGTAAATTTATTCATTTGATTTTGATACAGTGCAGCCTCTCATTAACGACATCGTCTCGACCAGAAAAAAAAAAGTCGTTTTAGAGAGGCAACCAAAAATATTACTACTGATATAAAAGGAAAAAATCTTTACCTGGGCTCTATGTTGCTGCATAAAGAATGTCGTTATAGAGAGGCTGCACTGTAACTTACATTTGTACCGTATTTAAGTCACTTGCTAATATTCAGATTTGATTGTCTTCTAACCCTTTGAAACACTGGTGGCGCATAAAATTGACCGTATGCCTAGACACCGGTACACCAGTGAGCGAGACTCTATCCCCAACTTGGCCTGCACTGTACAAAACGCGGTAATGAGGATGATTACCCCTGTGGGATATGGAATGTGATTCCGACAATCATATGAATGAAGGCGTAAATCGCTTAGGAGCTCAGGCAGAGGGGCATGGTAGCCCCAGGAGGTCGGGGATCAAAGGGCTAACAATCGTTAGGTTTTTTGTAAGTTTGACTCCTTTTGACAGAAGAAATGTTGTTCACCAACCTGCTCGGGTTAAAAATAGGAAAAGAAAATACAGTCTTATTGGTCCTTGTTGAAAGATTTGTTTCAAACTGACGTACTCATCATTCAGCTAGTATGATAAAATGTCAGGCATTCAAAATATGAATTTTTAGAGGCAGGGTGTCTAAAAAAAAAGAGGATCCACTTAAAGGGCAATAACTTGGTCATTAGTGCACTAATTTTAACAAACGTCTAACAAAAAAGAATTCAACCAAGTTTGTATATATGAAGAAAAGGAAATCCATCAACACCTCTGTAATATCAAGTTTTAAAAATTTCAACTAAATTTGGGTAAAACGTAAAATTTAACTTCTTAGAAATGTTCAGCTACAGGAGCGTGATCGGCCTGTTCTGGTTTCCGGACAAGGGCAGTAAAGCCACAATAGTCACATCAGATGTATGTCTAGCTCATCATGCTGAGAAAGTTTTGGAGAAGTTTGGGGAGAAGAAGGTGTTATGCTGTAGAGACCTGATTCCAGTGGGATGGGTCTACACCTCAAATGCCTACAGTGGTCCTTGCGTAGTTGTAAGAAAGGTTTGGGGAACGCTTACAAATGAATGGTCACTACCTTCCCCCCAAAGTGAAGCCCTTTAAATTATTACCTTTGAGTTTTTTTGGACAGAGTCTACGGAAACGAGCCACAAATGATCGAACAGTTGAAACTCAAGTGTTGAGCAGGATGTCCAAAGAATCGACCCAAAAACATGCCATGGAGTTATTCAAAATTTCAGTGGCGTATTGGAACTTGTAGAGAGAGAAATGGTCAATCCCTAGAGATTTAGATAGCCATCACCTCCCTGGGTTTATTAGGCAATATAATTTTTTGCATAAATTTGTTCTTCAATGCACAAATAGTGACTATATGAAATAGATCAGCATGGTTGATTTTTAATAAGTTGCAACGTTGGGCATTTCACTCATTTTTGGTTGAAATTTTAAAAACTTGATTTTTCTCGAACATAGTTGTTGATTTGTTTCATTTTGACAAATGTAATGTCCCCTAGGTTGAATTTCACTTTTTCAAAGTTTTAATGAAATTGGTCCAAAGGTGACCGGGTAATTGGCCTTTAAATGAGTCCTTTTTTTTTTTTATACACCCGCTATGTTTACTGAGGTGTGTGTTTTTTTTGACAATGCCATTGTTTTGTTGGGTTTTTTTAACAGAAGAAGATTTATGAATATTCAAACTTTATCTTGCTGTGTCTGTCACTGTTTGTTTTGCTAACTTAGGCCTCTACCGCACTATGACATTCCTGTCTCGGACAAGACTGTCCTGTTCCACTGTCAATTTTTTGGGTGCCAAAACAGATACCGCACTAGGACGGAACTGATTTAGCGCATAAGGCGGCTTCTTTGTTGTTGCCCACGGTGGATTTAAAAATGCATCCCAAAAATTTCCTACATATTGTCCAAATAAAAGTTTTTAAAGATTTTCATTATCAGTGACCCAAAAATAGCGAAAATTCCGCGGGGGAATGCAATTTAATGCTCGATTATGAAGTTAAATTATATATATGGGTTGGGGTTTTTTTTTGTGTGTGTGAGTTTAACCATTTGGCCCATACTAGGTCTAGCTTTCACCTTCAAGATGGATGAAATCAGATTTGATTGTGTGTCTGCTCTGCTGCTTTGCAGAAAAAAAAGAGAAAGAAAAAGCAGTATTGGGTACATCCTTTGATGGTCCAAAGGTTGATAAAGGGCCAATTCCATACGCTTATGGTGACCTCCAATGTCACCCTAAAAAAAGTTTTGGTTATTATTTGTTGTACAAACATGGATCATTTTTCACTACACAAATAAAGTTTTCTATCCAATTTGGATCAACATCCATTTTAATAAGAATAGACTGTTTAGAAATAACCGAGCGACTGCAGAAGACAAAAAAGTCTGCACCATGTTGTGTGTAGAAGCTTTGACTTTACTGCAGATGTGCAATGCACCGAATGATCTTGATTCACAACTTCACCATTGACGATCAATTAAACAATAAAATAATTTGAAAAAATTTACATAGATTCCCATCAAATCAGGTACCCCACGAGCCATTTTGTTTATTTTGAGACGCTGATTCCGATATGAAATCAGTTTTGAGATGCGATAATTATTTTTAAAATTTTGTGCCCCTAATTTAATCCTGTGCGGCGGCAAATTTTAAAGTGATTCTAAGTCACCACCCGCAAGCCCACGCGATCTTGACTGCAGGCGCCACCAAGTCTGGGACAGTTTTGTCCTAATGCAGTAGGCGGCTATATTTCTCTATAATCACAGAGGATATTACCCCGGGTTTGTGATAGTCCTGTCCCACCGATTTTGTAACAATTCACAATTGCTCAGGACTCAATGCGACAAAATTGTCCTGTCCTAGTAGGTGCGATACATTACACTCTAATTCAAAGGTTTCAAATCCAGACTGGTCTATCCCAGCACAAACTCGTAGTGCAGTAGAGGCCTTTCTATTCAGTCAGAGCGGTAGAAATTGTGAGATGGAAATGCTATATAACGAGATGTCAAATGGTGTGTTTTAAATGTTTCAGTTGTTGTCCACGATGAACCCAAACAAATTCAAGGCTTGCCAGTTCCTCGTACGTTACCACGAGAGACGGAATGATAAGATCATTGTCTTCTCCGACAATGTGTTTGCCTTGAAACATTATGCAGTCAAACTGAACAAGTAAGTAAACATTAGTATGTGGAAGTGGCACATTTTCTATTTTCACTTCTGTTTGAAATCTCTTTTTCTAGTTTCTATAAGTGTTTGAGAAAATGCTGGAATTACCTTTCTTACCAAACAAATAAAGAGTTAGGCTTATCTCATGAAAGTGGTTTTTTCCCCATACAAGTGTAGAAGTAAGTTTCTTTGTGGTTTTTGTTTGATTTTGTCAGTGTAGCACCTAGTGGTGTGGATGGTTGGCTAGTGCTCCGGTGTGGTTTGCTTCTTCTTTCTTATCAAACATCTATCGTCCTTATCTCACCTTCTTTTTTATGTTTGTTACTCTCTTGTAGCATCTCTAATCTTCTGGCGCTCATATGACCTTATGCAGTTGCGAGCGCTGTAAAACCTCTACTAAAACTAAAGAAGCACATAGTTGGCTTTTGGCCTTTTACCCATTACCATATGTTATTTTGTCACTTCTCGTAATGGTCATTTTTGTTTGATTGTAACTTGTTTTAGGTCATAAACAGGAAAGTGTTGAATGTATTGATAAAAGAATTTTGTAATTCAAATTTTAAAAAGTATAGGTGGCTTTTTTTTACCCTCTTCCCCCTTTTTTCCTCAGGCCATATTTGTATGGGCCAACGAGCCAGGGAGAAAGATTGCAGATCTTGCAAAATTTTCAACACAACCCCAAAGTCAACACAATATTTGTCTCCAAGGTTTGTGAATGAGCTCAAGTTGTACATTCTTTTCATCATTTTGAATTGCTTAAAGTTAACAGTCTATTTCTTGGTAAGGTTTCTATCCTCTAGTATTGACTATTCAGTCCGTGAAATATTTATTTTGCTGTAAGTCTACCCTGTCTATGACCCCCCCCCCCCCCCCATTAAAAACATGGGGAAAACTCTTGAAGAAACATGTAGTTGAAAGACATTTTTCCTCTCTGTTCAGTTGCATTGTTCTTAAAATGAAGCAATTAATATTGTCAACTTTGATACTGGTTTAAACTAATTATTATGGAATGCTGCAATGCCCTAATTTCACTTCTCAATGTTGATATTTGAATTATATTTTTTAAGGTTGCTGATACCTCATTCGATTTGCCTGAGGCAAATGTTCTGATTCAAATCTCTGCTCATGGTGGCTCCAGAAGGCAAGAAGCTCAGCGACTGGGCAGAATTCTAAGAGCAAAGAAAGGTTTGTCATGTTAACCCTTGTTTTTGTCATGTTAACCCTTGTTTTTATGCACTTTATGTGCTTCTATCAAAGTAATACCTGGCTGTGTTGTGATTCTTCTTCTTTGATGTTGCTTTTCTAAATTGATGTGAGTAAAAATACCACTATTCTGGTTCAGTTAGGTTCCTGATTTATACTGTTTTGTTAAAGAATTTTGTTTGTGTGAAAGCGTTTTTCTTTCACCTGTCAGGTGGAAGAAAGTTTTTATAGATATTTTTCAATACTGATTGTTGATGTTATTTTTGTTTTAATGCATGTTGACTATGAAGGACTGAGACGAATTAGATGCATTTGGGGTTAGTATTGACTACTATTGTACTATTTTTACTTTTACGTAAATACCTACATGGTTTAATCCAGAGGTTTGCTCAGTCATAGTATCACGCAGTCTCAAAGAGAATACCCTGATTTGTAATGGTATGTGGGTGGTTGGCGGGTGCTCTGGTGTGGTGTGCTCCTTCTTTCCCATCAGACATCTATCGTCCTTATCTCCGCTCCTTCTATTTTGTGTGTGTTACTCTCTTGTAACGCCTCTAATCTTCGGCACTTATATGACCTTATTGTGTTGCAAGTGCCGTAAAACACTTACTTAAACTAAATGTAATATGGTATGGAAAGACTTACAGACTCTTTTTCACTTTCATTTTGCTTTGCATTTTTCAGGATCCGCAGCTGAAGAGTACAATGCTTTTTTCTACTCTCTGGTCTCCCAAGACACCAATGAAATGGCATTCTCGTTGAAAAGGCAGCGCTTTCTTGTTAATCAAGGCTATAGCTACAAAGTTATTACAAAATTTGACGGCATGGAACAGGTAAAGAAAAGATGGTTAATTTTTATTGCGCCTTTACTACTACTGTGGTTGTTTAAGACTCTTCTATTGAGTTTTGTGCATGTTCATACCTGCCATAATGATGTGCTGTGATATATATGCATGTGTATGCCAGACTGTGAGACTGAAGAAATAGCAAGTGAGAATGAGAGAGAGGAAAAGAGAGAGATAGAGAGAGAAAAGAGAGAGATAGCGAGAGAGGGAGAGAGAAAGAGATAGAGGGAGAGAGAGAGAGGGAGAGAGAGACAGACAGACAGAGAGAGAGAGAGATATAGAACGGAAATGTTTTTCTATCTGTATAGAATTAATGTTTTAATGAATGTATCTAGTTACTCACGTTTTAACTGTATTTTGACTGTTCGTGAATTTATATTGCATTGTATATTTTTAGTGAACACATTTTAACCTCACTGCGAGACTGTTTTTCTGGTATAAAATTTTACACATATGCATTTATATTATATGTATAATACTTTGTTTTACGTACACATTTGTGTCGATTAATTTTTAAGATGTGATGTCTTTTTCATTGTAATGCGCATTGAGCATCTTTTAGGAAATGGAAATGCGCAGTATAAATGCTATTTATTATTATTATTATTATTCATACTGTCACTTTTTTTTGTCATTGAGGCGTTTCAATTTTACCAAACTTCCATAAATGTGTTTCTGATCTTTAATGATACAACATGGACAGGTAGCAGGTTGTTGCCTTCTTTGAGGAGTTTTTAAAATGTATTCTTCCTTAGGATACTGTTGGTAGATTTGTCTGTTTGAGGAAGTTGAAACTGTTAAATTGCTGCTTGTTTGGAATGAAAAGTGTAGACTATTCCAGATGTCTCTTTCAAAATTTATTTTCCTTCTGGTATGATGGTATTTCAGGTGTTTACATGTTTAGACAACAACAAAAATATATGTTTGGATATTTGGTGAATGAAATCTTATTCTTTTTTACTTCGCCTTTCACTTTCAGCATCAATGTTTCAGTTCCCTTAATATAATCTATGACTGGGTTTCTTTTTTTTTTTCTTCATGTTGACTCATCATTTACTATAATACGGAATAGGAATTTCTGTTCTATGTTATGTTGGTTTTGGCAGGAGATTACAAGCCTTTGGGCTCCTTTAATAACAGCAGCTGTCATGATGGCGGCTAAGTCAGAAACTCACGTAATGGTGAAAGTATCTCATAGCTTTGTGAAATGTGAGTTTCTTCATACAAGTGATACTTTTGATACTAGAAGTGAGTTTTGTGCATGCATATGAACGTGCGGAGAGGATATGACAAATTTAGAGGAAGTCAGGTGGTGGTAGGAGAGACTCTGCATTGAAAAATATTATGAAGTTTACAAGAAACTTTTGGTTTTGACCATGGAAAGGGTAGTGTTAATCTCCCATGCTCGTTACTGTGAGTATACCCCATGTCTTTCTCTTCTTTCAGGAAAGTCTTCATTATAAATCAAGAGAAGAGCAGGTTCAGCTTTTGCAGAAGGTCTTAGCGGCTACTGATGAAGACGCTGAAGAAGAGCATGTTTTGGGAGATATCACGTCAAAGGGCTCGGTAAGTTCACATCTACTTGTCAAGTTAGGTTGCTGCAGTTTTAAATTTCATTTTTACTTCCGTGGGGTAAAATTTTGTTTTGCTCTACTGACTTAATATCAAGGCTTTGTATTCAAGATGGCCACACATTTCTCTTCTTTTTTTTGCTTTGTGGTATCTGTTTTTGGCAAATTCATGATTTCATGTTGAATAAGAATTTGGTTATGAAGTGGAGCCTGGTGCAAAAAACAACAACTAGTATTTGAGTCTGTGTATTGCAGGGCTGCCAACCGTCCTGATTTTTTCGTAATTATTACGATTTTTTAGCCTTACTACGAAATTCCGATCATAAGGCGATTTATTACGATTTTTACCATCAGCAGATTTTTGGCTATAAAAAAAATATTTTTGACTCGTTTTTTATTTTACAAGTCTTAGTTCGGACCTGTAAATCGTCCGCCAATAGTCGGAAAACCGCCAATCTCAAAATCAACCCCCGTCCCCGTAAAAAAAAGGAACAGCTGGCCCACTTCACGCGAGTTAGCCTTGCCCACAAAAATACTGTACACGAGAAGAAGCATCGCTGCCAAGCTGCTGAGACCCAAGCAATCTAAAAATTACATATTTTTGTTAGCTGTAAGATAGTAATTTGAAAATGAGAGCACTATTACTAATTTTTATGGGAAATTACTAATTTTCTTCATGGAGATGGGTTGGCAGCCTTGGTATTGAGTTTACTGAATGACAGTTGTCATTTATTCTTTAAATATTATGTTTTGTTCTTTATTTCATTGCATTTTTTATGTAATTATGGTGACATTGGATTTAATGCCATTTTGTGTGTGACTGGCACTGCTGTAAAATGAGTTGCGCCTCAAATTCAGCAAATCCAAGTTTTTCGACTCAGATTAATTCATGGCTCAGAATGTTACTTTTTTTTTTTCTGTATTTTAACACTCCCCAAAAAAGATTTCTAATGGATTTGGTGTTTATAGATCTAAGAATCTTCTCTTGTTTACGTCGAAACATATTTGCACATTTCTGTGCGTACTTTAAGGATGAATTTCTAAAAGATTGAACCTCTGAAGCTTTTCATCTTCTAGTTACTGACTGTACTGTGACTCTGTTGCCAATATTGGTAAAAAGTTGTTTTTTTTTTCACCCCTTTTTAAGGTCTTTTCTTACTTTTATGGTTATATCAGGTCAAAATGTAAGAAATAACTCATTTTACGATGTCACTGTATGATCTTGTTGTGTCTGTTGATCGTCTTTAAGGAAATGGTTTTACTTTTATTCTTATGTAATATGTTATGTGTAATTTCTTACTACTGAAATGAAAGGAACAAATTGTATTCTTTATTTTAATATCTTATAAAGGGGGAGCTTTTGCCAGTGTGATTGTGCCAAACTATCTAAGCCTGTGATTGCTTTCAATGTTCTGGTTGTTAATAATACTTCATTTGGAAGCAGACCCAAGGATGTACACCGGTATCTGAAAGGTCATAGCTGTTAAGAAGGTGTTTGATAAAACGTATGTGATTTTTCCTTCAAAATGTAACTGTTTTATTTAATTAGGGGAATACTTTTAAAATATTTTTTATCATCAACAGTTCCACCGCAAGGTTGGAAGCATGAACTCGTTGTCTGGAGCTGATGATGCTGTTTACATGGAGTATAGAAGACAGAAATTCGTCCATCCTCTCTTCAAGAAGTTCAAAAAGCCCTAAAACATATTTTACTTTTCATTTATCATTTCATTTGGCCATCGTTTTGTAAAAAATGTGAATGAATGAGAGAATAAGTGTTAAGACTGTCTGCTGAAAGGACATGAAACATTTTGCATTGTACATCATAATATATAGTACAGATAGTAGTACTGCCAGTGTTTTTTTTTTTGGTTAATTTTTTAAAATTGAGTATTTCCCATTGAAATTACTGTAAATATGAGGTAGAGAAGAAAAAAAAAAGTGTCCTTGGGCAATTTGGTAATGTTGAAATGTATTTTATTTTTTTGCCTAATTATGGTTACATTTGAAAGGAAATAATGGAGGGCCAAAAGCAGATCCAATGTGGCTAGGCCTATCCCAGTATGATGATGTTTGATCATCCCAGATTAAAGTTTCAGCTATTTGGTGAGAAGAAGATTACCTGCAAGGCTCTGACTACATGGTACCTGGTGTCCAAAAAAAAAGAAAGACCCTTTTAAAGAGCAATAACTCGGTCATCTTTATACCGATTTCCAACGTAACTTTGAAGAAATCAAATTCTGCCAGGGGTACATGAGGCTTACAATTGTCAAAATGAAACAAATGAATCATCATATTCGAAAAAAATCAATTTTTAAAATTTCAAGCAAAATTGTGTGAAACACAATACTCTGCCAACTTCTTAAAAGTCAGCAATACTGATCTATTTCAAATAGTCACTATTTGTGCATTGAAGAACAAATTAATGCACCAAAAAAAAAATACATTGCCAAATAAACATGTGACAGCTACCTAAATCTCCAGGGATTGGCCATTTCTCTCAATACAAGCTCCTATATAAGATGCCACAGGAAAGTTTAGGGGAATGGGGTGACCATATATTTGTAAACTCACACAATGGCCACTCTAGACATTTGGGATGTGGCCTCATCCGACTGGAACCAGACCTCTACAGCAGAACACCTTTTCCTTCCCAAACTTCTGGAAAACTTCCTCAGCATGGTGAGATGTACATCTGATGTGACTATTGTGGTTTTGCCATCCTTGTCCTGAAACCAGAATGGCCCCTTTAGATGACCATTTCTTAATAAGTAAAATTTTGAGTTTTACCAATATTTGGTTGAAATTTTAAAAACTGATATTTCACAGACAATGGAATTTCTTCATATTTACTAACTTGATGTCCCCCAGGTTGAATTTTATTTGTTCGAAGCTTTGTTAAAATTGGTGCTCTAATGACCAAGTTATAGCCGAATAAGTAGGTCCTTTTTTCAAAGACACCCTGTATGTCCAGAACATGTCTAGTTTTTAGCTTCATGTTGTGCCATGGACATTACAGAAGTTTACAAAATTTGCTGTTCCTGACTGCTTGCTTACAAGGTGTTCCATGTATGTCCCGCTGATCATCTGGCTCTAATTCTTCATGTACGTACAAAGATTTAGCCACAAGCTCTGTGTGGATTCATATATGGGAATATAAAATGCGCTTATCAATACCATATTTGCTATTTCAACTTTACTGCTAGGCTTGCAAGTGATCAGTAAACACGGATCTAATCTTGAAGCTAAAAACGTGCTCTTTAAAATCGTGAACACCAAAATGACTGAAAAAAAAGGCTGGAAATTTTACTTTTTAACCTAGATTTGCTTGCAAGTTGTTTAGAAATATGGAGATATTGATGAACATACTATCATAGTGATGATGAAAGTGACGTCGAAGATCCCGGATCTGAATATAAGTCATGAGTGGACCAGAACCAGACAGCAAGTCCACTGACATTGAGACTGATGAGACTGCTGTCCTGGCTAATTGGCTTAGCTGAACATCTGCATTGACAGTAAGATTAAGAACACACACACTCTATTCTAGCAACAAATTGGTTAAAGTTAAAGTATGTTCTTTTCGACCACTCTCATTAGTTTGTTGCAAATTAAACTTGTTTATTTGAACTTACAATCCCTCAAAATGATTTCATGTTTTCTGCTCTTGTTTATGAATGATGAATAAAATGATTTTTGACTAAAACTAAAAGTCAGTTTTGGGTCTCATTGGTTTTCCTGTGAATTTTGTTTTAAAAAATCGTAAGCTGCTTTGAAAATGATTAAGTCTTCTGCACTGGACTTGAATCCAAAACAACCCATGAACAAAGTACAGACTAAAATGTCATGATGTGAATTTATAAATTTATGTGCCAGATTCCTAAGAGCAAGAAGGCTGTAAGAGCTGTAGTGCAATGCAGAAATATCGTCAATTGACAAATCAAAAGACAGAAAATGCACATTGTGACACTGCTTAACAACACAGGCACACACACACACGTACTTATACACCTACATACACACACACACACACACTTGCTTACACACTTACATTAATAGTGTTGATAGGGGTGTTAAACCCTTACCATTTTCTCCATTTTCACACACCTACATACACGCACACACACACACATTCACATACAAAACTACTGGCAGATGAGAACATTAAATAAATATGTCTTTTCTTAAACCCTCTCTCCGACTGTGATGACTCAACACTCATATGATAATTTATCTGTTGGGAGAGAATTCCAAATCTCTTAGGGGCATGGGAAGAAAAAGCCCTTCCGTCCAACATTAATTTGCAGCTACAGTGGAACTCTGATTCAACGAGAGGAGATGGATTCCCCGTTTTTTTTCCTTCTTTAAAAATAATAATAACCCGGATTCAGCAAACACTTAAATCAGCAAGCTCGGATCCTACGAGGTCGCAACCTGGGTGAACACCCCCTGCAAACGTGGCTTCGCTCATTTTTCTCCCACAACGAACTTTATCTCTTCCCGGAAACAATCCATTGTACCTGCATCGTGAGCCATCATTCACTTAGCTGATTGAATGCTACCAATCAGTGGCCTTCTTTCATACCAATACATGCGTTGTAGGCACGCGCACGTGTCTACTCTAACGTGTTTCGGGGTCGAATAGGCAGCCTGCACACGTGTGACTGTGTGTGCGTGTCGGGGGGGGGGGGCACCATTTGTCCGGGCGTGGAACGTCGCAGATACAAACGCGTCACAGTCTTTTTTTCCCCGGCAACTGATCATTATTACAATGATAAGCTAGTCTTGGTAGATCTAGGTAATGAATTGTGCGCTGGTCTATGGAATAAAAAATTGCCATAATGCTAGGCTCTACACAGCTGCACAACTTGCTGGCAAACAATTTCGAGATGACACAGGCGTGCATTTGAACATGAGGCATTTCAGGCTTCACGTGATACTTATTTCTTGCTCCGTACCTGTAATTATCTGCACAAAAACCTCATGTTTGCTATAACGAACATTCGGATTCAACGAGATTTTAGGTCAGGCCTGGCGACCTCGTTGAATCCGAGTTCCACTGTAGTATGCATAAAGGGGTCACACAATTGAAAATAGGAGTTTATGACCCCCCCCCCCCCCCCCTCATAAATTTGATTTCAAATACTTGTATGTTGTGAAATCATTGGGTAACAACTTCCCAGGGATCATAATTTTTATTCCTCTTTTCTTTTTTGGGGGAAGGGGGATCTTCTAGACTTTTTTTTTTTTTTTTACCCTCTCTGCATCTGATTTTTAGGTGTATATATATATTATAATTCTATTGCTGTTATTTTCATTTAGTCTATGTTAGAAGTCGATACAAAAAAACACAACAACAACAACCAAGGTGCTCGTGTGAGGTCAAAGTTGAGAAACATCATAAAGTGCATATACATTTGTTTAGATTGATCTCACAGCTTTCGCTATGGCATGTGTTTGTGTTAAAGTGAGAAACAACTTATATTATAGTATATATATATACAGTAATATACTGTATACAGTAATATAGTTATTACAAACAAAAGGTCTTGAAATGCACTCCACTCGTAAACAGTATTTTACTAAATGTGTCAAACGTAGTGGGTTTTTTTTATAATTTTGAAATGAGCCTACTGTTTCAAACATTATTCACTGGTTTGTCTGCATGTAGATGGTTGGCGGCTGTTCTGGTGTGGTTTGCTCCTTCTTTCACATCAAACGTCAATCATCCTTATCATTCTGCCTTCTTTTTTTACCCCCCCTCCCACCAGGCGCAGTGCTACTGGCTGAAGTTGTCTTAAGGCCATTTTCAAAAGGAATCCGCATGTTACCATAATATATTCATATTGGCATATTCATACTCACAGTAGAATTGTAAATGGGCTGATTTAGCAATGTCATGCTCATACTGTTCCGCAATAACATTGGGGGAACTGCTTCTTTTTCTTTCCTCATCCTTACTATCGTCATTTTTCCTCTCATCTACTTCTTTTGTATGTTTGTCACTCTCTTGTGAACTGCTATTTCCGGGGTGCCTTGATAGTCGAAGCAGACTTTGTGCGGTTGAGGCTAGAGAGGTGAGCAGAGTAAGCCTGATTCCCTGTTTGGACTTCTCTGTTGACATCCACCTCTTGGCGCTCATAATATGACCTTATATGCAGTTGCGAGCACCATAAAACCTCACTAAAACTAAAACAAAAATACTTCATTTTGCTGTATTTGTTACTCCCTTGTAACATCTCTAAACGTCGGCACTTATGAATGAATTAATTGTGTTGCAGATACTGTTAAACTCTTACTAAAACAAAACACACAGATCTGCTTAGCCCAAATCACTCTGTGACTGTGCGCCAGCGAAGTGTCGTCGTCATAGACTGGAAAAAATTTAAAAGGGCGGAGAGGTGGTACAAATTCCCCCAAAAGATTTCAGACTCAGATAGTCTGCGTTCTACACTAGTGTCCTAGCATCTGAGCTCACTATTTGTCATATTATTTTGTAATTAAAATTCAAGGCTAAACTAATATTTTATTATTGAAAAACCGGAGGCTCCCCCTAAGGCTAATGCATTTCAATACATGTATATAAATAAAAACTGGACAAGGACGGAAATGGGAGCACACTCGTGAAGGACAGAGAGGTAATCGATTTATAATTTATGAATGGTCTCCCTTCGCATTTCAACGCTCTGTCACATGATTGTCTCCCCGGTTCTTGTTTTGGTTCAGAAGGAAACGAAACGACAAAGGAAAGAATTATTGTGGTTCAAGGAATACTGTTGTTACAGTAATGGAACTCGGGTCCTCGATCCTGGAGAATATCTCCGTTGCTGGGGATGCGGCTCATATATCTGACAAAGCCTTCATTTCTCTTGTTCAGGCTGCTTGCCAGGGTGTTTTGCTTGAAGAACACAGAAATGCAGTGGCAGGTAAACATACCACCACTAACCGATTAAGTATGGTCTCTTTCTGACCAAGCAGGTCTAGCAGTGAGTGGGTGTGTCAAGTGTTGGCGAGAGAACGAGGCAAAGGAATGGAAAGAGATAATGTTATTCTTATTTTGTTTGATAATCTTTCCAAAAGCAAGAACAGTATTTATTGTAAAAGAGGACAACATGCGAGGGAAACAGTAGGTCGTCTAGGTTGTTTGAGGTCCCTGTGTCAACTGTGTGGAGAAGAAAAGGCAAAGCGGGCGATTGTTAGAAAGTGGCTATTCTCACCGGCCACCTCTATTCTCACCCGGAGTGAGAATAGTGCAGGCGAGTCTTGTGGCTATTCTCACCCGGTGCGCGTTCACCAAATTTTACG